TGTGTGTGTATGTGTGTTACTTATTATCATTTTTATCTTTTTGACAGGCTTCTGTGACGTAATGGGTAGACAACTCATTGTCTTGCCCTCAAAGGACGTGAGATCGATTCCCATGTAGGGAAGATATATATATATATAAAAGTGTCAATCTGTTCTGCTAAGATGTAACCAACGAAGAAAGAACAGTAAGAAGCCGGCCGACCCTTGTCAGAGTCGAACTTCGAAATAAAGTAAATCAGCTTCACTATTTGAGGTGTCCTTGCAGGCGCTTTCCTTTGAGTAAAATCTAATTTTATGCACATGATTTTTGTAGTCCACAAATAAGCCTCCGTACTGCTGGGATACCCAAGTAAATTACTGGATATATTTGTGCTAAAACAACAGAACTCCTCATCCACACCACCCTACCCCCCACCCCCTCCAGTAGGCCTTATACCTTAGCCTAAACTAATGAGTAAAGCTTTTCTCAACTCAGCTCGCCCCTGTGGCATAGTTAACCTAGAACTTGGCTAACACTGGGAAATTATGCGGACATCGAATCTTTCGGGTCCTTCACGTGAAACATTTCACATCCTTGCTATTTAATTTATCGGGGGAGCGATCAAGATCACGGCGATTTTCCAGCTTCGAAACGAACTGCTTCGCGGGCGGAGGGAAGCGCGCAGCGAAATAAAGGCCATTGGCTAAAGCAAGCCGAAAAATAGAATAATAACACTTTTTTTTTTCAAGGATCTCATCTGCTGATCGAGTTATCATTTCTCTGGTTTCTCTTTTCTTCTATTTTGCGGCCTCCTCTATCGCTTAATGTTGAGTGGTTTTTTACGTAGTTTAATTTATGCCGGACTCTGGACCAATTGGCATACCGATATTTTTTCGGATTTTCCCAAGTAAGGACTCAAAAAAAAAATCATTTAGAACTCCTTGAATTTACCCTTTCTTCTTTCCAGGCAATAATAATAATAACGATGATAATAATAATAATAAGAACAATAATAATAATAATAATAATAATAATAATAATAATAATAATAATAATAATAATAATAATAGTAATCATCATCATTATTATCATCATCATTATTATCATCATCACAATATCAATAACAATAACTGTAATAATAATAATAATAATAATAATAGTAATAATAATAATAATAATAATAATAATAATAATAATAATAATAATAATAATAATAATAGTAGTAATAATAATAATACATGTAACAACAACAACAACAACGACAATAATAATAATAATAATAATAATAATAATAATGATAATAATAATAATAATAGGATAATAGGAATAATAGTAATAAATTGCATTTATTTTATAGAACAATACTCAATGCGCATTAAATTCATAGAGATGTCACATTATAATTGTATTACTTGATAAATGTGTAGGCCTATGTAAAACACGATATTTTGTATGCGTATATTAAGTTTATAAAAATTCTATTAAAAAGTTATTCACGCAGTGAGCCTGGCAATATGTGCACTAAAAATGTAAAGTACAATGCAATCAAGAACTATTCATAAAACTGAAACTAGAATGGCTACAGACAGAATAAAACATTCGTCCTCTATTGACAAACAAAAAAATTAAAAAATTCTCTCTCTCTCTCTCTCTCTCTCTCTCTCTCTCTCTCTCTCTCTCTCTCTCTCTCTCTCTCTCTCTCTCACACTATGTCTCTTTCTCACTATTCCTCAGTCTCACCGTCAGGCACGCACATGCATGTACTAGAAAAACTAACAATTTACCGTTATGACAAGTATGCATTGGCGAATGAAATGCTTCAGCTGGTTGTTTTTTTAAAAAATAAATCTGAATATTAGGGGTACTCCTAATTTTCATGTGGGAGTTCGTTCCATGCATGGAGAAAAAGCAGAAAAAAGGGAATGCTGGCGTAGACCTGATCCTGTAGTTTTGTTTTTGGGTTCTAAGAATCAGTATGTTAGTGGCTGTTAGGAGTCTTGCTTGTACATGTAGTGCGCAAAGAGTTCCGCTTGTTAAAAGAAACAACCCAGTGCGCTTGAAGAAACATGAAGTGAAGAAAATCATTTGTTTATCTAGAAAGCATTAAAACTTTTTTAAAACGTACCCTCCAGGGAAAGTGAGGTCTGATTGTGTGCCCATCAAGTACTGATCCCAAACCCGAGTATCTTTCTTTATCAAATCTAAGAAATCATAGCTTGGGGGAAAAGAGTTTAGACAGATGTCCCTGCGTCAGCGTACTGTAAGTGGAATGTTCATGATCCAAGAAAAACAAAGGGTCTGGAATTATATTTTGATCGTAGCCTTCAAGGATGAGTTCCACTTTGTATTGTTTAAAAGTGTTCGTAACCACTGGTTGCCCTAAGTTTCGCAAAAACAAAGGTCTTGCGTAGTTGGGAAGCTCCACCATCACGTGGTCGTATAATTTCAGTAGCTCCTTTGATCCCAGACTCTGGCCTTCATTCATGGTCACAGAAGCCATTCCCGCTCTGCCATCGTGCCCTAAGAAATTAAAGAAAGAAAATACGTCAATACCCTAAGGACAAAAATCACCGTGCAAGTAACGTTTTCTATTGATTTTAGTTCAAACCCAATAGGTATAGTTGTAACACTTACATCATTCATTTGATTATCTCTGAGCTTACGAAATTTAGCGATCCCTTTACTCTCTTTGCGTCATTCCGGGACATGCTACTAGCTTCTGTCAAAATGCTGAAATTGAATTAAAGTTTCCAGAAAGGATGAAAAGGCTCGGAATCGAATCAACACCTGCAGAGTTACTTTAGTTAGAAGATGATTGTTTACATATTACACGCAAGGTTTATAAAATTGTTAGCTAAGCGGCAGTTTTAACGAATAAATGTTAATTTACTGAGCCAACTGCTCCCGGATTCTAGCTAAGAAGTTGTTAGATTTACCAAATTTGAATGTTCAGGCCACAGGGAGAACCATCGGCGTGACATAGATGTGAAGCCTAACACATCTAATTTGTCGTCATAATACGACTGTCCCATTTGAATGCTTTGGTTTTTCAGCTCATAAACACAATCAGCGTGTATAAACTGTTAGCGTCAACGACTTGTGCCAGACGTAGAGAGACTTACGGAATTTCCCCAGTTCACACAAGTACATGTACAGATAAAAGACATAATACACAAGTCTCCAATCCCCCCCTCCCACACACACACACACACATACACACACAGACAAACACACACTCATACACACACTCACACACATACACACACATACACACGCAAACACACACACACACACACACACACACACACACACACACACACACACACATGACATGAACACACAAGAACGCACAAATGTCTACAAACAGGAGCACACTGGAGTGGAGGATCTGGTCATAAAACACACCTGGGACTTTGACGCCATAGACGTAGACGTCATATACAAAAGACAGAGAAGTCATCACGTTGGATACTTCCGATGTGGAGACGTTCTCTCCTTTCCATCTGTAGATGATAACGTAGATCGTCAAAGATTAAATGGGTTTTTTCTATATCTCTTTAATTAGCCTTGGGGTATATCCACAAAGACATCTTGAATATATTTTAAATATGATTGTTCTAGAATATATTTGCTAAAAACCGACCATTATGCCTGAAATACGAATAGAGCTCGCACGCGATGCAATTCACCGGAATCTTACTTGACATCAAAATCCTTTTGACACATAGAGAAGGATTTCTGAGTCAAAAGACGCACGCACAACAAAGGACACACGACGCGATTTTATACTCCAACAGTTGAGCTCTGCATTCGCCCCAAGGGAAGATGCATTACTAATTAATGATTATGCGTTTGTCTCGCGGGCGGAAAAGGACGGCATATATATAAATAATTAATGTAACGTTGTTGGGTTTTCTTTCATGTATATTCACTACAGTACGCCAATGGCTGTGTTTTGTTTTTTTCACATATTAATTTTCACGATGACACCGTCTTGAATAAAAGCTTCAAGACCTCTTGTGAACAACTGAATAATAAAAACATGCGTATTTTTTATTAAGTAGTCAAGTAGAAGAGTTCGTATTTCCATTAATACTAAGAAAATAAATGAAAACATCGTTTATGTACGGTGGGAGTGTGTATCCCACATAAAGAATTTTATGATGGTCTTGGCCAGTACAGCCCATACTTGTGACCAAAGGCCATAGTTCACACTTAATGACAATGTTGGGTGGGTTTGGTCTGTGAACACGCTCCTCCCCCCTGCGCAAAAAAAACTGCCAACCAACCAACTAACAAATCAAACAAATCAACCAAGCAACCAAGCAACCAAGCAACCAGCAACAAACCAACCGACCAACCAACCAACCAACCAACCAACCAACCAACCAACCAACCAACCAACCAACCAACCAACCAACCAAACAACCAACAATCAATCAAACAAATAAACAAACAAACAAGCAAACAAACAAACAAACAAATAAAGCCTATAGGGTTTGGTTGTTGTTGTTTGGGTTTGTTTTTGGTGGTTTGTTTGTTGTTGTTGTGTTTTTTTGTTGTGTTTTTTTTTTTT